GCACAAAATTCATATTACACTTGAGTTTGTCCTATTATGCCTCCCTATTTTCTGTTGTGAAATTATTTCCTGCTAGGAAATACTCCTCACTCCTTTTGCTGACCCTAAACCTGTATTCTCCAGGTATATGACTCCTATGTACATGGCATAAATCCACCTTGCTCAGCTTTAAGTTATTTATATGTAACCCTTCTGCCAGGTGGAGCCACCAGCAACAAGGGCCGGGTTCAGTAATACAACAATACAACACAAAACTGGCTCCAGATCCCACCCAGTGACTGGGACAATTACACACCTCCCCCAGGAGCCTCTAAGAGGTAATACTTCCCCTCTCACAAGCACAGAGTCTGAGTGTAGCAAAACTTGTAATAAAAGGAGGGAAGTAACTCAGCATTAATTTGGGAAAACACCACAAACAGGATTAATAAACATAAACCATGAGCAAAAGACCACCCTCCCCCCCATAAGTTGGGCAGTGTCCATTTACCCTTAGGTTCTAAAGTCCAGCAATCCAAGAGTCCTTTTAATGTGCCCATCCCTTCTTTGCACCCCACGCACAGTTGCTGTCCTTGGCCAGTGCAACCCCAGAGTCCAGAGGTTCATCCGCAGAGTTCATCTCCCACCCTGTGTGGAAAGCGGGGGGGAGGGTAAGGAGGTACCTTACATGCTGCACTGCTTGGGCACTCGCTCATCGCCCCAATGGCTGATTGCTGTGCCTCTCTGTGGGGCTCTTCTCTGGTCTGGCCCTCTCCACCAGCTGCCCACGCCAAGATGTCTTCAGGCCCCCCACTTAACACAGCTCTCAGTGATTTCAGCTGTTAGTGGGGGAACCTCACTGCTGGTGCATACTGGGTAGTCTCTTGCAATAGAGACACTGTCCCAAAGTAGATCTAATATGTAGACATCAGTGATTTCAGATCTTCAGTGTGTAACAAGACTCTCAATTAAGTCTAAATTAATTTTTTTTATTATTATTATTATTTTTTAATACTGTGAAGAAAGGAAGGGTCAACTGGTATCTAGGACCCACACCACCAAGTACAAATACCTATCCACACCCTCTCTCAACTCATTGGGCTTTGAAGCCCATGCCCCCTGCCCAGCCAGTGCCATTCAATTGAGGATGAGTCCCTCCATTGGGTATGCCAGGTACAGTTCTGCTGCCCTCAGTTCACACAAGGGTAACAACCCTTTATTACTGCTTCCCCAATAACAAGAAGACTGGGGATCCAACAGCAGCCACAAGTGATCATTTGGGCAAGCAGTCCTAGGAAGGGTGGGTGTATCCATGCAAACGAGATCAGTTCCTGAAATCTTTTTCCACAGCTCACCACTAAATGTCAGGGGAGAGCTCATTCAGACTCTGCTTACGTATATAACAGACCAAAGGACACCACAGAGGCATTCTCAGATGTCTGGTTTATATTGTAATTATGCAAGCACTGTTATTATTTATGTGTATTACATTAGTGCTTAAAGCCAACCAAGAATGGGGCCCCAGTGTGTTAGGTGTGGTGCCAATGAAGAGTAGTAGAGGTCCCTGTCCTGGAGATCTTATAATGTACTAGACAAAACAGACACAGGGTCGGGGAAGGGGTAGAACACACAAGTAGAGTGAACAGTGTGATGGTGGCAAACATGTCAGCTGCATGTTTTGGGGGATATTTAGGAGAGGATCAGCTAAATGGAAAGAAAAGGGAACAGAGAGGGGACATTGAAGGGAAGGGTGGTGTGGGGGAAAACAATGGGGAGAACATGGTAAGAGGGACAGCTGTGGAGTGAAGGTGAGATGAAGAGAGTGTGAGGGAGTGGGTGGGAGAGGATTGGAGGAAACAGCCAATCAGCACAGGGCAGAGAAAGTCCAGTCAAAATTATAGAAAGTTCTCTGAATGTCCAAAGACCCTTGCTTTGGCTGTTACTTGCTACCATGCAAAACCATGCTCTGAAGTGCCCCTAGCCTCTGTTTGCCAGAAGCTGGGAGTGGGCGATGGGATGGATCACTTGATGATTACCTGTTCTGTTCATTCCCTCTGGGGCACCTGGCATTGGCCACTGACAGAAGGCAGGATACTGGGCTAGATGGACCTTTGATCTGACCCAATATGGCCGTTTTTATGTATTTCTACTGGGCGGAGTCTCTGGTTCGCTCCTTTCTGTCCCTTTTCACCAAACTCACACCTGTGTCCTAGTGCTCCCAGAGTGTGAGTGGGATGTCCCTCCTGCACAGTAGCTAGAATAAGGAAAGAACAAGTTAAAAATTACTTAGCCAAGTTAGATGTCTTCAAGTCGGCAGGACCTGATGAAATACATCCTAGAATAGTCAAGGAGCTGACCAGGGTGATATCTGAGCCATTAGCGATTATCTTCGAAAACTCACGGAAAATGGGAGAGATTGCCGAGGACTGGCAGAGAGCAAATATAATGCCCATCTATAAAAAAGGGATTAAGTATAACGCGGGGAATACCCACCAGTCATCTTAACTTCAGTACCAGGAAGATAATGGAGCAAATAATTAAGCAATCAATTTGCAAACACCTAGAAGATAATAAGGTGATAAGTAACAACGGTCAACATGGATTTATCAAGAACAAATCGTGTCAGACCAACCTGATAGCTTTCTTTGATAGCTTAACAAGCCTTGTGGATGGGAGGGAAGCAGTAGATGTGATATAACATGACTTTAGTAAGGCGTTTGACACTGTCTTGCATGACCTTCTCATAAACAAACTAGGGACATATAGCCTAAATGGAGCTACTATAAGGTGTGTGCATAACTGGTTGGAAAATTGTTCCCAGAGAGTAGTTTTCAGTGGTTCACAGTCAAACTAGAAAGGGATATTGAGTGGGATTCCGCAGAGATCAGTTCTGGGTCCAGTTCTGTTCAATAACTTCATTATTGATTACGATAGTGGCATAGAGAGTACAATTATTAAGTCTGCAGCCGATACCAAGCTGGGAGGGGGGGTTGCAAGTGCAGGATTAAAATTCAAAATGATCTGGATGAACTGGAGAAATGGTCTAGGATGAAATTCAATGAGGACAAATGCAAAGTTCTGCACTTAGGAAGGAACAATTAGTTACATACTGTGGCGGATTAGCCACTGGGCCTACGAGCCCCGTGCCCAGGGGCCCCAGGTGGGTGGGGATAGCCCCCCACGCCCAGACTCTGCTCCTGGGCAGCAATGCCAGATGGGTGGGGTGGGCTTGGTGGTGGGGGAAGCCCCCAGCACCCTCCAATCTTGGCAGAAGCCAGCAGGAAGCAAGGGAAGCCCCCTGCACTCCCCAACCCTGTCCTTGGCAGAAGCCAGGGGAGCACAGGAGAAGCCCCAAGTGCCCCCTGACCCCATCCCCAGCAGAAGCCGGGGGGCAGCAGGGGAAGCCCCTGGCGCCTCACACCCCATCTGCCAGGGGGCAGCAGGGAAAGCACCAGCACTGGGACCCCCACTGTGGCCCTGGGACTGGAGGAGCTCTCGCTACCTGCTAAGGCCTTAGGGTTGGGGAAGTTCTCACTCCTCGCTGCGGCAGGGGGACAGAGCATCTTTGGGCCACAGTGGGGTGCAGAATGGGGGGGGGCCTGGGTGGAACAGGGGCAGGACCACAGGTGGAATGGGTGGGGAGGGAGCCCCCACTTGCTCTAGCCCAGGCCCCATGAATCCGTCCCAGGTTGCATACATACAAAATGGGAAATGACTGCCTAGCTAGGAGTATTGCAGAAAGGAAGCTGGGGGCTATAGTGGATCACAAGCTAAATGAGTATCAACTGTGTAACACTGTTGCAAATTAAGCGAACATCATTCCTGGATGTATTAACAGGAGTGTTGTAAGCAAGACATGAGACGTAATTCTTGCCCTGTACTGCACACAGATTGGGCCTCAACTGGAATATTGTGTCCAGGTCTGGGCACCACCATTTCAGGAAAGATGTGGAGAAATTGGAGAAAGTCCAGAGGAGAGCCACAAAAATGATTAAAGCTCTAGAAAACGTGACCGATGAGGAAAGATTGAAAAAAAATAGTTCATAAAAGTAAATACATGATTGTTACAAGGAGGAGGATGAAAAATTGTTCTCCTTAGCTTCTGAGGATAGGCAAGAATCAATGGGCTTAAACTGCAGCAAGGGAGGTTTAGACTGGACCTTAGGAAAATCTTCCTGTCAGGGTAACTAAGCACTGGAACAAACTGCCCAGGGAGGCTGTGGAATCTCCATCATTGGAGGTTTTTAGGAACACGCTAGACAAACACCAGTCGCGAACGGTCTAGTTATTATGTAGTCCTGCCTTGAGTGTAGAGAACTTGACTAAATGACCTATTGAGGTCCCTTCCAGTCTATGATAGTTTCTACCAATTTGTCCAGTATTAAAGTTAGGCTTACTGTCCTATAAATGCCAGGTTTGCCTCTGGAGCCCATTTTTAAAAAATTGGTGTTGCATTAGCTACCTTCCAATCATCTGGTACAGAGGTTCATTTCAGCAATAAGTTATATACTCCTATTACTAGCTTTGCAATTTCATATTTGAGGTCCTTCAGAACTCTTGGGTGAATACCATCTGGTCCTGGTGATTTATTGCTGTTGAATTTATCAATTTGTTCTAAAACCTCTTCTACTGACACATCAATGCGGTACAATACTTCAGATTTGTCACTATGGTTGCCAGGTGTCCAGTTTTCGACCAGAATGCCCAGTTGAAAAGAGACCCTGGTGGCTTCAGTTGGCACCACTGACCGGGCCATCAAAAGTCCGGTTGGCAGTGCAGTGGGGGCCCGTGGCTAAGACCGGCTTCTTGTTGGTGAGAGAGGCAAGCTTTCAAGCGACACAGAGCTCTTCCTCAGGTCTGGGAAGAGCTCTGTGTCACTTGAAAGCTTGTCATTCTCTCCCCTACAGAAGTTGGTCCAATAAAAGACATTATCTCACCCATCTTGTCTCTCTAATATCCTGGGACACACAGCTACACCACCACTGCATACAATTAAAAGAAGAACATTACTATTTAGTATTTAAACATGTTTAATATTTGCACATTACAAGTAAAATCTGTTCCCTTCATTCATGATTCAGTGTGGTCACAGTAAAACTTCAGTCACTTTGCTATTATTAACATGATTTGAACATACTGGAAATGATTTTATCATCAGATACACTTTTGGGAACAATAGAACACACAAACTGCCATTGCAAAGCTATAGAAATAAAGCTGAGCTAGTATTTAATAATTGAAAACTTATCAGGTATTTGTATATTGGCGCAGGGTTGGGTGTTTATAAACCTGCCAATTTCACTGCCTATCTAAACCTCAACAGGATACAAGACAAACCTGGGAGCTACATATTTATTTTGCAAATAAGTCAGTTTGGGGATCAAAATGACAGTACTGGTGCACAAGGTCCTTTATTTATCCATTGCCTTACTCAAAAAACATTGACGTCACTGGAAAGACTCCCCTTGACTTCAACAGGCTTTGGATCAGGTCCACAAATAGAGGTAGGGCAATGGAAGTGCAAACTTTCCACTATTAAGACTAAGAGGGTGGTTGGTGCTAATTTAGGGCCTTGATTATTGACCTCACTGATCAGAGTAGTGTAAATTGCAATACAATTTCTTATGGTGTGGATATCTGTCCATTTTCTGGACCAAGATCACCAAGCTTATTTTACATAGGTTACCAAATAGTAATTTTGTATAGTCACCATAACCCTGGAAAGAGAACAGGAGCTGAATATTTTGCACTGACATTACCAACTGCCTACGCATCCAGCCTGAATGTCGCAATTTATTTTTTAAAAATTGCTTAAACTCAGCTAGTCTAATGCTATTTCAACACTGCTAAATTTAATCAAGTTGTTTCTAGTGATAAGATGAAAATTTCTTGTCTAGACTAATGAATGCAGATTACATAAAATTCCAACAATCACTTGAAAACCAAAATGAAACTTCTTTTTTTAGAAACATGAAATAAAAAGGTAAAAATTACATTTATTCCCCCCCCCCATAAACATTGAACAGTAGGAAAAGGCCAAAGGCTGCTTTGGTTTCATCTTCTTCTTAAAAGAGATCATCTCTGAAAAGGCATCAAATGGCATAAATCCAGACAACAGCAGCACTAATTCTTGATTTTAAAATGTGCCAGGATTTCTACTTAGGACCTCTGGCAATAAAAATGATGCCTGTAGTCTCTATCCATGCCAAAAAACAAAACAAAAATTTTTTTAAAGCTTTTTCACCCCACAGGGTGCTGCAATATTGCAGGAGCTTCCTTTGCCTAGAAGCTAAAATCCTGACCCAGATTGCCTCGTAAAGACAGTACCATGAAAAAGGTGAGAAAAGATCACAGTGAACTATTCATCTCTACCTTCGATTATCAGTGCAAGTCCTGGCTACAGCTTAAAGGAAGTTCCCACCAGTTTCCATATCTCAGTGCAAGCTAAGTAATAGGAGCACCAGTTAAATTTTGACAGTCTTCAGGGAAAGACCTAGATGCTTGCTTATCTGACTAACAAAAGGTCACCGTGGATCTCTTCCAGCTTATTTTGAACTTCTTTTAAAAAACCACAACCAAATTTTCCCTTTCCCTTCTCGATAATGATTCTTCCACATTGAACTGCATTTGGCTGGTGCTTCAGACAACATTACAGCTTATTAGAGCTGGTTGGGAGCCACAATTTCCATTCTGCAGGAGAGCCTGACAAAAAAAAATTGCTCCAAACCAGAACGAAAAGCCAAAATTTTGTAGTTTCCTGTGAACCAAAAATTAAGAGGGGGAAAAAAGAAAAATCAACTTGGGACCATCTAAACATTTATTTTCAATAGCTTTGAAATGTTTCATCAATGTAAAAACATTTCATTTCAAAAGTGTCATTTCAATTCATTTTGTTGTGACTTTTATACCATATTAAAATATTACATACATGTTTAATACCAAAAGCCAAACAAAAATCAAAATTACTCTGAACACAAAATGTTTTGACTTTTACCCATTGCAAAATTTAGTCAAAAATCTGTACGTTCCTGCAAAAAGTTTTGATTTAGTCAAAACTGCATTATGACAGAAAAGTGTTCTATCCCATTTTTTTTTTAAACCAGATCTATTTAACCCTTGAGGTGGGACCATAGGGGCAAATGACTCAAATACAACCACTACTGGCTCAAGTCTGTTTCCTCATGCATGGATGAGAGAGAGATGCTGTATTCATTTTCCTCAAAATGGAAAAGGAAACACCAGGCAAATGAAACATTTGAATTCCACTGGGCACCCCTTTTATCTGTATGATCAGGACCACTAAGGCAGCAGTCAGAATGGAGATATTCAAGGCACGTGATCCTTAATGTGCAAAGGCCTTTATTATGCATTTCACTGCAGACTAGATTGGCCTCTTCCTTTAGCCTGATATTAAGCTGCCATGAATAAACAATGTCCCACCCAAATCCTAAATTTAGAATTTTCCTAACATACTGCAAGCTAATCTGCCAGGACCCAACTGACCCAACTTCCCATGTTCTACTAGGACAGAGGGACTCCCTCCCAATTTAACCACTGACCTCTAGTCTATTTACAGCAGTGGAGAGAACATGGGATTAGTGCAAAGCTCTTTATGCAGGTCGCAAGTTGCAGAGAAATAGGCCATTCTACGAAAAGGCACTTTTTCCACATAAGCAGTGCTAGATTTTACATGAAATTCAGAGGCAAAGAGTGTGACCAAATAAAGCGCACGCTTTGTGATGCAGCCTGACCAAATTAAGTCCGTGCCTTGACCATTAGGCTGTCCTTGGCTCAACTAACATTTCATTGCTCAGCTGGACTGAGGCCAAGTAAAAGAGAAATACCAGAAATAGGATACCATACTACCCAGACCAGGGATCTGTTCCAGCCTGGCAATTTCTTGCATTTCTATCCATTTATATAGACAGGAATAGCAGCTGCACTGACACAAGCTGGAAAAAACATACAAGGGCTATCAATGCTAATGTCTCAGATATAAAATGTTCATGAGGTAGGGCCCAGGAAGATCCCCAGCGTATAGTGTTGCAAAGTTACAATGGGTACACAGTTTGCCTTCCTCTGAAATAGCCAACATCGGCTCCAGTGGATGGAGACAGGATACTGACATACAGCAGCCCCATGGTCTGTGTAAGAACACCGTTCCTATGCTCTTAGACATGGTTGGTTTTTGGTAAGTACACTTGTTTTTGAAAAGTGTGTATTCTGTATTTTGAAGTGCTCAGGGTGGGGACTGTGGGGAAACCAACAAGATCAAAATGACTGTAGGACACATAGGAAAAGGAGAGTAAAACTGAGAGCGTGACCTAAGGTTTAGAGGGAAAATAAGCCACACCTGACTACTCATAGCCTTGTGAAGTGAGGGGGATGAGTTCCATAGTAGGTTAGGGTTCTTTTGCTCTGCTGTTTGGGTCATTTGGGTGGTTGCAAATAAACAGAGAGAAAGAAATAAAGAGATTTTGTCCTGCTATGCTTCAGGCCGTCTTTTGTTTTATACATATCCTTGGCTCAGCTGAGCAAATCTGTGCTTGCTTGTGGTTGAGCTGGGAAGCAGAAAAAGCCCTGAAGCAGCTGCAGACTTGAAGGTCAGATAGAGCCAGAGCAGCCAGCGGTGTTGGTCGGATCACGACTTCGAGCAGTTTTCCAGAAGTGCCAGATGATACCATCCTATTAGGATGCAGCATTACTCATGTTCATGAAATGGAGCGCTGGATCAGCCACTGTCCCTGAACATCAGAAAAGCTTATTTTTAGATCTGAAGTTAATAGCTCAAGCCCATCTTTATTCATAAGAAAACCAACTGTTTAAGGCTCAGACAAGGTGTTTAAAATATTTTATAGTACTATGGTTTCCTTTACAGAGTACAGGGTAGGAGATGGATGATGCTCCACTCGCCCATGACAACCATCTCAGCACATGTCTGTGGCCCTGGGTGACCCCTCTTACTATAAATCTTGTTTTAGAGTGTGTGTGCACTGAGACTGATGCGTTCACTGGCAGCCTGCCTCCCTTATAGCTACTAATGCTTCTTTGTCAGTTCAGCTGTGCTCCAAATCGTGCTATAGACTCACAGCTGAATCAAAAAGCAGGAAGAAGTGGTGGTCAAGACAGAGGAAGGCAGCACATTTTTTCCCCATTGTGGAGGCTACAGTTGAATCCAATTTAACCAGTAAGAGCCCATTCATGCAAGGTGTTGAGTGCCTCCTGTGAGATTCTAATTTTTTTCAGCTCCCCTTCACTTCACAGGAGATGTTCAGTCTCTTGCAGTGTCAGGTCTCAAGATCAGAGACAGACAGATGGTAGGGTGGTGAATTAAAGACAGGAGAGGTGCCCTATGGTGGCAGCAGCAGAAGCTTCAAACGAAGGCTCGAAAGCTGGGAGATGGAGCACTAAAATTTCTCTCCTGCCCAATGCTTCCCCCTCCTTTCCAAAGTATATCACCACTTTATTCTACCTGACCCTTTCAGCAACAAGTCCCTTCAATGCTGCAAAAAGCCATCCCATTCATTGCCCTCCATCACTGCTACACTCCCCCGACAGGTCTGTTGGCAGCTCATCTCTGCCTTCACACAGAGCAGGTAGTTCACTGATGTTGTAATGCTTACCCAATCCCATTAGTAACAGCACACAGCTACAATCTGTTGTGTAAGAAAGGAAATATGGAAATCATCATTTATTTTACACTGAGTTTATGGAAAGTGGAATTTCCTGTCAAAAGTCCAAAGCTTTCATGGTCTCTCCTTGAGCTCATGCCAGTGCTGGGAGTCTGCAAAGACACAACTTTTTCCACAACAGAAACTGTCTCCCGCACACATCAGTTAGGAAGAGTCTGAGAGCCACTGATGCTTTCAGTAGCATTTATTCAGGGCTCAAAGACGACCCCTGCACCTCCAGGCTACTTTCTGTGCCAGAAATAGCAGCAGAATGCCACAGAAGATTTGAAAGCGTTTAGAAGCAGGGTCTTTCAGTTCCGGTGCTAAAGTGAGGTTCAGAAAAATCTAGGTTCAACTCCCAGTTCTGCCATGCATTTCCTATGTGATCTTGGGCAAGGAGCTTGGGCCCAGATCCTCAGAGGTATTTAGGCAACTAACTCCCATCCTTAATCTCTCTGTCTCTCAGTTGTCCATCTGTAAAATAGGCAGGGCCGGCCCCAGGCACCAAGCACCCAAGCTGGTGCTTGGGGCGGCACCTGGAGGGGGGCGGCGGCGCGGCGCTCTGGCCGCGGGGGGGGAGAGCCGAGCCCCAGCCGGGCCTCGCCGCCCTCCCCCCAGGGCTCTGGCCGCCCTCCCCCCGGCCGCCGGGGAGAGAGCGGC